GTGAACAAAGTAGACCAGCTAGGTAGAAACAGCAGAGTCAATGTCTGAGATGTCGATTAAATGACAGTTGACTTCATCAAGCTCTTTAATAAAATCGTCCTTGCAATAATGTTTATAGGATCTAAACTCAATAAACCTCGAGGGAGCTTTCTTCACACCACCTTTGATAACGCAGAAAATGACTGAATGGTCATTGATGGGCAGGTAAATAACACCACTATCAACAATCTTGCGACTGTTCACGAACAAGACATCAATTAGAGATGATGAGCTCACATATATCCTGGTTGGTTCAACAATAAGCTGCTCCAAATGATAAGTGTTTGCAAGTCTAACGAGCTTTTGTTTCGAGGTTGACTGAGTTGAAGAGCGACCAGCTTGAAAGTTGACATTTAAGTCTCCAAGTAAAACAATTTCCGCTCTAGTAGGGATAGACGACAAGGCAGAATCCAAAGTAAGAATAAAACCCTCATTTAAAGGGCCAGGGGGTCTGTAGACTGACAAAATAAACAACGGCTTGCAGTTAGCGCGGTATACTTCAACAAGACACGACTCGGCGATTGAGGGCAAGTCAGGTCTGACGCGATAAGGGATTCCGTCGCGAATAAATATCATAGATTAAAAACTTTTCTTTTTAGAAAAGCCTTTTATAATTAATATTAGCTGTCTTAAGCGTTAAAGTGGCACTACGACGAAAATTTTTGTCCCTGGTTTTGACATTTTTTAGCGCGAGTCAAGTTAATATGGTTAGAATTGTACTATGCGATAGTTTTTAGGTCGATGGAAGCGAAATACACCTTGATATAGCTGGCCGAAATTCATGAAAAACCCGTCCGCCATTACTCAGCTCGCAACCAAGAGCCAGCGACTGAACTGAAAAGCGGTTTTACACATGAGTTGGCCTGTGACGTCATATGCGCACTTTCGCATCATGCTTCGTGTGTTGTGAGAGCTTCCACAGTGGAAATTCTAGGCGTTTTATAAGATGTATTCTTCCTCGAATTCTTCTTCCAAATTGCGTACAAATTTAGCCACGTTTTTTAGGTCGAGCTGCGCATATGACGTCACTTCCGAAGGGCTCCAACTAGTGCCAACTCTTTTTGCCACACTCGGCCATTTTTGAATTGAGTAATGGCGGGCGACCAAAAACGAAAAACAAGATTGAAATAATCATACTTCCCGTGAGAATTTTGCGATTAAACTTGGCAGGGTAAGTGTTTCTTACTTCTAGTTTCCAGAAGTGAAAAGAAAAGGCAATGCGAAATTTTGATCATAGTGGCACTTTAATGTTAAAGTTTTTGTAGGCGCCTTTGAACAGTAGGATACTGGCGCGGTATAAATCTTTTATTATTATTATTAGAGAACCAGCCCGGAATCTGAATTTTAAAATTCTTTATAATAGTGTTCAGCCAGGTTTCAGAGATCGTGAAGACATCAAACGGTTTGTCTTAAAAGCAGTTTCAGATCGTCCATCTTACCAAGTATGCTTCGTACGTGGAAATGAGCAATTTTCAACCCACGACAATGAGGAAAATTGGCCGAAACATCACCTAGGTTGTTCATTACTGGACCAGGATTTGTTTCGACGTCATTAAATAGACTGATAAGGAATAGCGCTAATATAGACTTCTGGAACAAATGTAGACAAAGCAGAAGATTCAATCATTGGCGTTGTAAGGCTAATAATAATAATAATAATAATAATAATAATAATAATGATAATTATATAAACACCTTTATTTAGACACGATAATGTTTAAAGCTGAACAGCTTGTGGGTTCATGTGTAACTGCAAATAAACTCTAAATTAAATAAATTCAAATCATGATGGTTTTTGAGGAGAGGAGAAAACCGGTCTACCCGGAGAAAAACCTCTCGGAGCAGAGTAGAGAACCAACAAACTCAATCCACTTACGACACCGGGTCCGGGAATCGAACCCGGGACACACTGGTGGAAGGCGAGCGCTCTCACCACTACGCCAACCCTACTCCCCTGCTCCGAAATTTCAGGTCACAAAATCGTCTTTGCAACAAATAGCATTACGTTTAGAGATACTTTCTTGTTTCTTTGTTTATAAAAGCATCATGCCATCGAGTTAAGTTACGAATTTTACCGTAGAACTGGCTCCTGACTCCTTGATATATTTTCTGAACATCATCAAGACTCAACCGATATATTTTATCAGTCTGGGCAATAGAAAGTTTGTCTATACAATGACGTCATGAAACAGCGTCACGGTTGAAGTTTCAAAAACCTAGCCGAGCCTTACATATTAGTCCACAGGCGGCCCAGGCTCTGTCACAGGCTCTGTCACAGGCTCTGTCACAGGCTCTGTCACAGGCTCTTTTACAGTGGATTATTATAGAGTTTGTATAGTGGTTCAGTTGGACTTGCTTTTGAGCTCCGTAAATTTAAAGTTGTGTGAAATAATCAAAGAAATAAAGTCTTACCTTCATACAGAGTAGTCTGTGCTGTTCTTGTCGCGATTTGAGGCCGTTTTGCTGTGTTTCAGCTTAACGTCCTAGCACTACCAAATAAAAGGGAAGGTAGGAAAGCTCTGTCTCACACACGCTCGCCAAAATCGCTCGGAAAACACACTTAAATACTTCCCCTTGAATCGAGACTTGGCAGCACGAAAGCCAAATAGTTGCCCTTCAAGTTCACTAAAACAAATCCCACAAAAGCTGGGTTGTCGAGCAACCAACCCAGCGAAAATCTCAAATTGACCACCATTTCAACGCCATTAGAATGCGCGTCGGTCAAATCCTGTGCAGTCAAAAGTTCGTTACGACGCGGTCAGCCTGGGCACTAGCAAAATTAGGCCAAACGGGTAGCCCCACGATATGAATGATTAGTCAGAAATAAATACCAACCCACACATTTTGCTAAATGGCTATTGTCAACTATTCGTCAGGCGGCGTGCGCACTTTGATTGCGTTGCATCATGGTCGTAAAACAAAAATTGAGACATATGCGTCTTGTCGCGTTGGAGTGAACTTCTTTGGTGGCAGCGAGATAGCGTGAATATACGTGGATTGTAATAGAGATTCACTGTCGGTTGCCGTTCCTTCGAAAGTTAAAAGGTTTGACGGGCTTGCGCGGCTCCTGTCATCCCTCCGCCACGAATTCGTTCTCAGGAGGCAACTGACGTTATTTAGAAAAATTCCAAACTACAATCTGCCTAAGAATCTGGACACCAATGGCAACAGTTACACTCACAACTGATGGCAGGATGGATAATGTCAGAATCAGAAATTATATTTCTAGAAACAAGTTATTTAACAGGGAATGGACCCTCAACATGCAAACCCATTTTAAAGATACAGAGACCTTGTAATACATGAACTTTTTCCTCCTAGCGTAAATACGGGATTTGTAAAAGGAGAAGCCCCACGCCCCATAAGAACGAATTTGTCGCGCTCCACGTTTAGTAAAAACGTACAGAGTTTCAAAATACCCTTCGAGAATAGAGGAAACCTATATGAGGGTTTTGAGAAACGCATCTCTGGCGTTATTACTTCAGGAGAGAAGTATATTCTGAAACAAAGAAAATAGCGCGCGCACGGAAGAAAATATTGCCTTTTGTAAGACAATCTCATCCG